CGGGGGGTGGCGGGGGGGAAGAGGTGTCAGGCTCATGTGTCCCAGCCCATCCGGTCTGTGCTCTCCAGGGACAGGGACTTGGCCTTGTGGGGGGAGGCCGGGCTGGGGGGGCTGCTGAAGGTGGAGCTGTTGGAGGCCGTGGAGTGACGGGGGGAGTCCGAGTCCTGGAGGGGGGGAGGACGGACAGAAAGAGGAGAGGAAGAGAGTGGGTGAAGTTCGGGGGAAGATAAAGGAACAGGGGAGAGAGAGACACGTTAGTTCAGTTATGTCCATATAAAACATACAGTATGTCTAACACTCAGGAGCTAACGGCTAACTCTCTGGAGGCTAACAGAGCGCTGCAGGGAGGAATCTCTTTATAGTGCACAATCAGATTCAGAAAAAGCTTTAATAATACCGTCTGGGTTGTTCCATTACAGAATACATTTTAAAATATAATGTATTATTTAAAATATAATGTATTATATAATATATAATATAAGAAGTAAGAATGTGCATTGTGCAATAAAAGATATAAAGTCATCAATTTAACAAAGACATTCCGCAAAACAAAATGTCAGACTCATTCCCAGGTTTTAGGGCTACATTCCACATCAGCAGCAGATGAACAGCTGAGGGAAAACCAACATGCAGCAGGCCAGATGGGGGGGGGGTCATACTGTACTACACATACAGTATGACTGTCCTTAGGAGAGGAAACACACATGATACTGAGGAGGAGAAACGACATGTGTGCTACAGGACACTGTGATCCAGTGATCATGTCCTCAGGTTATTATGGGATGGGTAATGATCTGATGTGTTGCTTGGATACAGATGTTCCTGTTCAGTGACTCTCTGATGTGCAACAGTCTCCTGTGATTCTATAAACACCACAGAGCTTACTCTTCTAACATCTCCACCTTCTACATCCCATCACTCAACACGTGGACATCATGTGTTTCACCGCTCATGCAGCTGGGCACTGCGGTGTTTTCATATACATTTCAACTGCATTTATTTCTTGTATAATGTAAGTTATCATGTACGTTTCTGATCATTTCTTTTAGGGTTGCTCAATTCATAAAAAAGTATTCAAAATCAAGTAACTAGTGTAGAGTGGAAGAAGGCGCAATATTTCTTAAAGTAAATGTATAAATGATTATCATTAAGGATTGAAGTGTTACAGATCCTCTCGAAAAACAAAACCACACCTTAGATAATGTTATATGTTAATAATGTTTAGTGATGTTAGTCAAAATAATCACAATTCGTTTTTTCCCCAAATCATGCAGCCCTGGTTAACATATACATTTCTATTAGAGAATTGGCGCAGTTGTAACTGTATTTCCCCGCAGAGGTCATGAGGTATTTCTGATTGAAACTGCACAGTGTGTGTTGGAGGAGCACTGCCCAGCTACATATTGTACACATCTTTGTGGATGTGATGCTGTGTTTCAAAGTGGTCATCCTCATCATCATCATCATCATCATCATCATCATCAGACAAAGAGATCAGAACCACTCTGAAGCATGCAGCTGCCATCTGATTGGCTGTTTGTGATCGGTACATCCTGCAGGGTGAACCCCGAGCAGACGACACAGCACCCTTATTATTTTTGTCTTATTTTGCTGCGAGGGGGACAGCTCATGTGAGGAACATGGCGTCTGTCGGGGGGCCGTGTGAAGCAGACATGCTCTGTGAGGGTGGAGGAGATGGAGCAGCAGCGTGTGCACCGTTTATCAGCAACAGAAAAACATGAGGAGGCCGGGTGAGGGTGGTGCAGCTGACGCTCCGGTGAAACATGGGACAGCCATCAGGTGCAAGTGGACGGAGGCTAATGTGTGTGTTTATGGGAATGACTGTGTGTGTGTGTGTGTGTGTGTGTGTGTGTGTGTGTGTGTGTGTGTGTGTGACACACACACACACACACACACACACACACACACACACACAGTCATTCCCATAAACACACACATTAGCCTCCGTCCACTTGCACCTGATNGTGTGCCTTGGCAGTCTCAGGGTTGCTTTTTCTTTGCACAGCATGAAAGAAAGGCGAAATGAATGGGCTGTGATTTTAGTATTTTTAAGCATAGGTCAATAATTTGTACGGCCCTCGGAGGATGTTGAAAAAATTGAAATGGCCCTTGAGAAGAAAAAGGTTCCCCACCCCTGCTATAGATAGACAGCTCTTTTCAGGGATATACAGTCACACATACATACCCGTGTTGTGTAGTAGTGTATTGGGTTCCTCCGTACAGTATAACTGCAGCATTTCTTACATGCCTCTAAAGATCTCAGAGCTACTTGACCCTCCCTTCCTCTCAGATCACATCCCTTTGCAGCTGACACCCTGCCAGCTGCTCAGCCTCCCTCTGTAGGACAAGCCTGCAGTCCTCACATAGCACACATACCAACACACATACCAACACACATACACACACACACACACACACACACACACACACACACACACACACACACACACACACACACACTGATACATCCATCCAGACTCAGAAACATACATACATTAAAGCACACACTCACATTCCAAACATACAAATGTTGAGTGAAATGCATTTTCAGAAGAATTTAGTGATGGCCGCTGCCCCCTGGTGGAGATACTATGACTCTGCAGAAGATATAATGGGAAACAGGATCCCAGTGGGTGGAATATGATATGTAGACAAGATAACAAGATTTTCTTTCTTTTTCAAACTTAATTGTCAGTACAAAGTTTATGCTTTTACACAGGAAGTGTTTATTTTAATGTTAAGGATAGCGATGTGCCTAGACCTGCAGCCTGAACGTGGGTCCATATCTATAGGTGGTGGTACATTTTAAGCTTTGGAACTGATGAAGAGCAAACCATGGTGTCACGGTTCTGGAAGAATAAGTAGGATGGCGTTGACCTTCTCTGCCTGTAGACTTTTTAAAGAAAAGTTGAAACTTAAAAAAGGATTTTCAATGTCAGTGTTGTATTCTGTTGAAATGACCTTTTAAAGTCAAAATAGGTTTTAGGTCCTGTCTTAGGCCTTCATTATTTATGGGTGTGTGTATGTATTTGTAATGTCTCTGCATGTATAGTGACCTGTGTGTTTCTGTGTTTGCTGCAGGGTGAGTGATGAGAAGGATGCTCGTGGTTATCTGCAGGCTCTGGCCACCAAGATGACAGAAGAGCTGGAGGGACTGAGAAACACCAGCCTGGGAGCGAGGGCCACGGTAAACACGCACACACGCACGCAAACACGAACGCACGCACGCACGTCGACTAATTTACTCGTTTACTTATTCCTATTGTTTTCATTTTGTTATACTGTTACTTAATTTAGTTTTCTCATTTTTGCCCTACTTATAATCCTTGTGTGAACTGTATCTGTCCTATCTTGTGTTTCGCTGTTATTGCTGTTGTTGCTATGACACCTGAATTTCCCCAAGGGGATTATTAAAGGTTTATCTTATCTTGATGAGCAAGTCTAAACGTGAGAAGGTACAAATGGCTCAGTTTAAAAAATCCTCCCCTTCCCTTTCCATCCATCCATCCATCCATCCCTCCTTTCTTTCATAGAAACTAACGTTTTACTCTCTGATTCAGGACATGCCATGGAAGATGCGGCGCTTCGCCAAGCTGGACATGTCGGCCCGCCTGGAGCTGCAGTCGGCCTTAGACGCTGAGATCAGAGCCAAGCAGAGCATCACGGACGAGCTGAACAAAGTCAAGGCCAACAACATGTCCACAGAATGGTACAGATAATGTTAGAACCACAGTGAAAGATCAAAGATTTGTCGTTTTTTTTTAACAAACCTCTTGACGATATATGATACATTATTGTCTCTGATCCACCAGTAAACTGCAAGATGTGGAAAGTAAAAACCAGGAACTCCTCGCAGAGATCGACAGGCTGAAGAAGGAGACGGAGGAGCTGCGGCTACGAAGAGGTACAAATAAACCACCTCTGTGTCCTTGTCAGTGGACCAAATCAAACAAAGAATGACCTATTCATAGTTTTCCTTCAAGGGGCATAACTGTTCAAATATCATTTAAAAACGTTGTTCCCTGAAGTTAAAATAACAAATTGATGCAAAACCAGAAGGCACTTTTTCTCTTAGTGATCTTTGCAAACATTTTGGTTTTTTGTTCAAAAAATATACCATAACATAAATGCACAGTTACACTCTATACATGATGTGTTGCTTAGACGTCGCACCCTCTGAAACTTTCCATGAGAAATAATCCCTGAAAGTCCCGTAATGAACTATCGGGATCCAAAGGAGGTTTTTGTCAGAAGCCATATTTGAGAAATGAAATCTTGTGCTGTGTGCATGAACATGTATTGTTACTAAGGCCATATGAAACACCACCCCCCATCTCTTAGAAACAGTCCTGTGAGTCTTTTTGTTGAAGTCACCCTTTGATGTTCTAAGATGGCGTACTGAACCACCATTTGTGTTATTTGTTCTGTGTCTGTAGGTGTCAAGCACCAGGATTCCCAGAATTCCTTCTTGGCTTTTCTCAACGCCCCCACCTCAGCGCTGGACCAGTTTGATGTAAGTTTATAAGACCAAAAAATTATAATCCTGATTACAATACAGCTGCTGTCAGCAACCGTATGTCTGTCGGGAATTAATGATTTTAAATCTCTGATCAAGAGCAACTTGAGAATCATAAATATCATTCATCAGCAGGTCATACCCGTCACATGTCTGTGCTTTTTCTTCATGCTTTACCTTGTTGCTTTTTCTTCATATGATTTTTCCACAATCTTTATTTTTGTTCTATCTTTTGGTTGTTTCCTTGCTTCATTCTCTTGTACTTCAGGACTCTTATTCCTCATCCTCATCTTCTTTAATTGAGTTTTGGGAAGACGTAAGTTGTTGTTGGTTAGGCGGAGGTCCACGTGTGTGTAACAGTAGTTGTATGCTGTAGTACTGTAAGAGCTTACAGCAGAGAAAGACACTTGTAGCCGTATTACGTCAGTACGTTTTGTCTTTGCATCAGTGCGACTGTAAAGAAGAGCAAAAACAATGCAAATATGTCAATCTTTTAAACAAGGTCCACTTTCATCCATTTAAATACTAATGGAAACATAGATGCAACGAGATAAAGTAATGAAATTCTGATTAACGCAACGTATTTGTTTTAAGTGCATATACTTGTTAAGATTGATGTCTTTTTGAAGTGTTCTGCTCTTGTATGCAGTTGCTTGCTAGTCCTAGTAGGCCAGTGGGCTATTTGAATGGCTTTCTGGTGCTTTCACTTGTGTTGAACATGATAGAGCCACAAAGTATTCAGTATGTCTTTTTAAATCCTACATACTTGTGTAATCACTTTTTTCTTTTAGCCAGAAAGAGAACTTGGGTTGCTCCATATTGACTTTTCCTGCTCCCTTCCCATCACCATGTGTATTTGATTTTCCCTTTCCCCTCTGTCCTCAGTCCAACCCACACAGACATACAGTAGTCTCCTGCAGTGTTTTCCAGTCCGTGGTTCTTAGTTCCTGGTGCTAGTGACATTGGCAGGGAGCAAATCTCAACCAAGGACCTGATCTGAACTAAACTCACCCAACTGAAATATATAGAAATAGACTAAGGAGCACACTTTGATTCAGTTAGTTTAAAATAACGGATAAATGGTTCCAATAATTGGTTAGAGTGATGGATAAAGAGTTAAATAAGTTAGCTATAAGTGACCGGAAAACAGTAAGCTCAAAGTAATGGATACACAACTAAAAGCTAAAAGTAGAGGATATGCTGTGTTGAAATAGTTAGTTAGTAATGGAGCAGATATTTAGTTCTCTAATAGTTAGTTAAAAGTCAAATATATTGGGTTTTGAAATAATTAGCTTAAAGTAGTAGATAAACATTTGATAGTTAGCTGAGAGTAACAGGAAAACAGTTGATAGAATTCGCTAAAAGTCATGGATTGGCAGTTGAAATAATTAATTAAAAGTAATAGATAAAGAGTTGAAATAGTTATCTATACAAAATGGATATACATTTTTGAAATAGTTAGCAAAACGTAATGGATAAATAGTTAAAGGTAATGGATATAAAGTTTGTGTACGTATATTTAAAAAAATCCACATTTATAATGAATCAAAGAAATAGGATTCCTGATCATAAATAGTTGGGAACCACTGAACTAGTGTAACTCAGTCTTATGTCCATGTTTCCCCTCAGTGTGTTTACTGTGTGTTAGCTCTGTCACTCTGATATTCATCTCTCTCTCTGCCACTCTGCTCTCCTGCCACTGAAGCGCTCGCCATCCGTTGGCCCAGCTAGCAAAGGCAGACGCGTAAGCACCATCACTGCTCTCTGTGATCTCATGCAGCTTCTAAATGTGCCGTCTCGTCATCTCGGTGTTTTATATGTGTGTATTCCCTGCGTATGTTAACTGTGGCTATCTGATTGCATGGCAGGGGTCCTATACACACTTGTATTTATATTTGTGTATTCATTTGTTGGATCTTCCATATTTGAACAACATTGAGTATTGCTATATGTGCTGCCTGTGTGTATTGGTGTCAGTGTAGCTTTGTGAATGGCTGTGCATGGTGTAAGGTGTGTGCTTGGGGTGTCTCAAACTAGCATGGCCACTGGGCTGTGATGTGTTCCTCATGTTCTAATACATGGGGTGCAATAGGATGTGCTCCAGTAGACATGAACACACATCTTGAACCATAATGTCTGTGGATAATGTTTTCAATGTTTTGTATTATGGCACCCACTCTTTCTCTCTACGCATGGATGATGCATATTACTCATAAATACTGCATAAATAACCCTCTACTCCTTTTTTTTGTTCTCCTCCCCTACCTCCTATCATCACTTCCTCATTTCTCTGCATTTCTCCTCCTCTCCTCCCTCCTGCCTCTCCCTCCTCAGGTGGACTCCATGGATAACTTCACCCCCTCCAACACTCCATCCAGGGACGATGACCCAAAGCTGCACCTCAAGTCCCGCTCGCGGTCACCCTCCATGGCCAGTGATATGGAGCCCATAGAGGTCAGCATAAGTCTGGGCATTAAACTCTTGTGTTTTGTGTATTGCCAAGTTTCTGCTTGTTTTAGTACAACAAGACTTTTGTCCTCCCATCACCCAAATATTCCTCATTCCAATTTAATTAACAATTTCCAAAGAAGGTACTACAACTCACAATACTGAGCTTGTCGAAAAAGTCAGTCTCCGTCAATTGCAATTGTCTCAATTACGGAGAAATGTGAGCCATGCAATAAAAAAGAGAAAATTGAACTTTTGTGTTCTCACACTCTTGTCGAACATGGTTTAATACCAGTTTTCTAATTGAGACTCGTGGAACTGGAAAATCAAATTTGGAACAACTAATTTCAAATGTACCGCAAGCAATCCCACTGCTCACATTCTACTAATATGAACCTCATAGAAACTGTTTATTGGATGTATTTCCAGCTCCTACTTTGTCACATGCATCCTTAGTTCAGATGTTTTGGAAGCCAAGTTTTATAAGTGACAATTCATACATTGTTCAAATAGAGTCAAAGTACATTATCTCACTGCTCAATGTTTTACTTTGTTCTGTCATGCAGTTGATAGACCACCCCCCTCGTACAGTCCAGACCCCCACAATGCGCTCAGGAGGGTACGGCAGTATTGGACGCTCCTCTCCTAAGGTAAGACCTTTTTCAGTTGGTTAAATGTCCCCACACTAGACCTTGTTATCTTAAAACCACTCATGATTTTGTCTCCTGCTCATTAATGCTCATTCATGTCTGCCCTCCACAGCCCAAAGCACATCAGTTTGTGGTGAAGTCCTTCAGCACCCCCACTAAGTGTAACCAGTGTACTTCCCTCATGGTGGGGCTCATACGTCAAGGCTGTACCTGTGAAGGTAAGGACAGATTCAAGATTCAAAGTCTTGTCATCTGCACAAAAGCTACATCGTAGTTGTTGGCAATTCAAATCTTAAGCACCAGGCTCTTTAAAAAAAGCAACATACAATAAACATAACAACACTTTGCATTTAGCTGATGCTAACATCCAGAGCTACTTACAATAAGTGCAATTAACATCCAGAGCTACTTACAATAAGTGCAATTAACCATTTACAAAACTCCCTTGCCCTTAAATAGATTTTAAAATGTCTAAGCAGTCAAACATCTGATGGGTCTCGGCCTGTCTCCCTGTCCACAGTGTGTAACTTCTCCTGCCATGTAACGTGTGCGGACAAGGCTCCAGCTGTGTGTCCCGTGCCCCAGGACCAGACCAAGGGCCCGCTGGGTATCGACCCTCAGAGGGGCATCGGTACTGCGTATGAAGGCACCGTCAGGGTGAGTGAAGGAGTCAAGGAGTCTGCTCACAGATAGTGGTTGTGTGAATTAGAATAGTCAGGTGTTTGGAGGCCCTGATCAGGCAACTTTCCATTTCCAACACTGTAGAAGGTTTTTCCATGATCTTCATGTCTCTAATGAATCACTCATTGATCTCTGTGTCTGTCCTAGGTGCCCAAACCTACGGGGGTGAAGAAGGGCTGGCAGAGGGCGATGGCTGTGGTGTGTGACTTCAAACTGTTCCTGTACGACCTGGGAGAAGGAAAAGCCACTCTGCCAAGTGTCGTAGTCAGCCAAGTCATAGACATGAGGTAAGAGAAGTGGAGGAATTCAAGTTGGGGATTTTAAAAATATATTTTTACTTCAAGTCTTTGAATATTATGTTTCCAGATCAAAATATCTGAAGCTATTTACAGAAGACAAATCAACAAATGGCACATTTATTTTGGTGTATTTTTCAAGATAAATGATTATATTATTAGTTGCAGATGAGTTTCCTGTCGATCAACTAAACCTAGTCTAGGTCTAACCTTTATCTTCTTCCTGTCCTCCAGGGATGAAGAGTTTTCAGTAAGTTCTGTCCTGGCCTCTGACGTCATCCACGCCAGTCGCAAAGACATCCCCTGTATATTCAGAGTAAGTATTCTCAGCTGACTGAAACCAAAACTAGAAAACAATCTGAATTGTTCTCATACAACCTTCCACCTGCCCTCTTTCTCCCCAGGTGACGGCGTCCCTGCTCTCCCCCTCCGCCAACCACAAGCCCTCCATCCTGATCCTGGCCGACAGCGATCAGGAAAGGAACAAATGGGTGGGCCTCCTCAACGAGCTGCACCGCATCCTCAAGAAGAACAAGCTGAAGGAGCGCTTCGTCTACGTCCCCAAGGAGGCCTACGACAGCACCCTGCCGCTCATCAAGACCACGCAGTCTGCAGCTATCATAGGTGAGCCTCAACACTCACGCTCATGCTAAAGAAGGTATAATAGGAAGCTAGTCTTTGAGATTCTAGATCTACAAGATCTCTAGATCTTTACGCAGTCGTTATCTCAACAGTAGAAAGTTATCAAATGAGTACAGAGATTGAATAAAGGAGCTAGCCGATTTGAACATTTTCCGCACAGAAGGTTGTTTTCTGCCTCCTAACTGAAACTGAAATGTCCATCTTGCTTCATTTTCTTCACCCTCAGATCACGAGCGCGTAGCCCTGGGCAACGAGGAAGGCCTTTTTGTAATCCATGTCACCAAAGATGGTAAATAAGATGTTCTACCTCACTTGTTTTTTTGTATAGAAAGGCCAAAGCGTCTTCTTCTGTACGTTTATCCTCAAATGTGTTCACAACCTGTCTTCCCCTGCTTCCTCAGAAATTATCCGGGTGGGGGACAACAAGAAGGTGCACCACATCGACCTGATCTCCCAGGAGCAGCTGCTGGCGGTGATCTCCGGCAGGAACCGCCACGTGCGTCTCTTCCCCACCCAGGCGCTGGACGGCCGCGAGACGGAGTCCTACAAGCTGGCAGAGACAAAGGGCTGCCAGACCGTCGTCTCCGGCCCCGTGCGCAACGGCTCCCTCACCTGCCTCTGCGTGGCCATGAAGAGGCAGGTCATCTGCTACGAGGTGAGAACACACAGTCGAACAAATCATTCTTTATTTCAGTCAAACTGAGAATTAGTGCCATGTCTTTCCCTTTTATCATATTGCTGAATAAAGGTCTTTGTCCTCGTGCAGGTGAATAAGAGTAAAGCTCGTCACCGCCGGCTGAGAGAGGTGCAGGCCCCGGGGCCCGTTCAGTGGATGGGTCTGCTCAGTGAGCGGCTCTACGTTGGATACCAGTCTGGATTCACCCGCTACAGGTACTGATATCAATACAGTGGAGATGTTCCTCTCATGGGTTTAGATCTGGTTTTATTCCTGCAGTTTGTTAACATTCAGTGAAAAGGTATTAAGGTCCTTCACTTGAAACCATCAAACACGACACGTCCTGCTTTCAAAAACGTACTTAAGTATACTGTAAGTATGTACTATTATAAGCAAAATGTACTCTAAGTATCAACAATGAGTAATTGTGCAGTAAAATGTCAGTGTTTTGAAGTAATAGTTGATGTTTTTTGATAAACATAACTGCTGCATTCATGTGTTTGATTCATGTTACTGCTGCAGGTGTTCATGGTTTGCTCATTTGAACTCCCTTACTTACGGTTGTGTAGTCTAATCTAGAACAAAGCATTATATTCTAAAAGATCGTCATGTTTGTAACTTTTTCCCTCTGCCTTTTCCAAATCTAAACTTTTAGGAGTTCTCCTATTTCCAGATTTGTGATAAATGTTCCACCTGTTCCAAGAGTTTTTAAAAGTATAGTTGATGTAGCTTAGGAAGTATAAACACTTCATCTTTTAGTTTATTAAGAAACATGTACACTCCAAATGACCTTAAGTAAATAACCTTAAAAGCTGTGTGATAAATGAAGGGGAATAAGGAGTAACATATTAGTTTCTGAGATCTGTAGCAGTTGAAAGAGTATTTCCCTCGTATACAAAAGGATACTCCAGTTTGGTCCAAGTATATTGAATGTGCACTTCAGTAAGTAAGGTCATTGTTTTACGTTTCTCCACATTTATGAATGTGATGACTCTGACCTCCACAGTGTCCATGGTGACGTGTCCCCCGTCAACCTGCTCCACCCCGAGGACCACACCCTGGCCTTCATCCCGCAGCAGGGCCTGGATGCTTTCTGCGCTGTGGAGATCTCCAGCAAGGAGCTGCTGCTGTGCTTCAGCTCCATCGGGGTGTACGTGGACTCTCAGGGCCGCCGGTCCCGGCAGCAGGAGCTCATGTGGCCTGCTGTGCCCATCTCCGCCTGTGAGTGCACGTCTGAATGGTTATTAACATGGAGATCACATATGGAGGCTCATTTGAAAAACCAATGCTGCTTTCTTTTGTCCAGGCTACAACGCCCCCTACCTGTCGGTGTACAGTGAGAACGCTGTGGATGTATTCGATGTCAACACCATGGAGTGGATTCAGACCATCCCTCTGAAGAAGGTCAGTGCTGAAGCTTTAGCAGGAATAGGCCCAATTCCAAAGCGCCCCCTACACACGAGAGTCCGCCACATTAAGCGCCGTTATCTGAAGGTATCTCTGGCTCCACCTGCTGGATTTAAAAAAGAACCCTACTTGCCTCTGTCGTCATAGAAACCTGACTCATTCCCCTGAATGGCCGCATGCCGCATGAATAGAAAAAAAAAGTCCTTATGGTTAAGTTTACTTTACATCAGTTGACATAATGAAAAGAAATGGAGCAGATCAGAATACGTTACACTGGGGAGACTATGTTTGCGACAGTTACTCAATTTTAGAACAAAAGAAAAATACAAAGATATAATTAAAATAGTAAGTTAAATTTAAAAAGGTGCAAAAAGAAGATACAATTAAATAAAAATCTTTATACAAACATAAGATAAAGGAAATAAAAGAATTGCACAGGTTATACAAGAAGGTTAAGATGGTCAGAGCTGCTGATCGCTGCAGTTAGTCTAGTAGCAGCCTATTGACCCATGCCATGGCTTGATTATATCTATCTAATGCTTCCTCTTCAGGTGCGACCTCTGAATGTGGACGGCTCTCTGAACCTGCTGGGCCTGGAAACAGTGCGGCTGATCTACTTCAGAAACAAGATGGCCGGTAAGAATTCACAAGTGTATTGTGGAAAGAAGAAAAATAATATGAACTGCAAAAATGTCAAGAATGACACAAATAATCCTCAGATGTTTTCCATTGTTTTCCATCAAGTAGAAGGTTTTATTTCTGCCAGTTGCTTCCAGAGTTAGCTAGCTGGATATGTAGCTACAGTTTCCAGGACTTGTTGTCACCTTTTCTTTTGAATAAAAGCAAGTTGGGTGACAGGAGAAAGTTTGACATGCCAGTCAGAACAACTAAAGTATGTTTGCAACACTTTGTAGTCTCTCTCGTAAACAAACTGTGTCTTTGTTGTGACCTCGCAGAGGGAGATGAGCTGGTTGTCCCGGAGACGTCAGACAACAGCAGGAAGCAGCTGGTGCGCAGCATGAACAACAAGAGACGCTTCTCCTTCAGGATACCGGAGGAGGAGCGGCTCCAGCAGAGGAGGTAGACCACCTGCAGCACACACACATTTACACACATCTATACTCGCTCTGAGTCGCTGTGTTACCAAAGCACTCAGGAACACGAGAATATAACACAACAGAAACACCGACACATCACAATTAAAGGTAAAGATGACATTGTTTTAAGAGTCATGTGACTAAGAAAGTGTCTGAAGAGAGAATCTAAACGATACGAACAATACGAAAGAATCAGGGTATACATGTCATCTTCAAGTGACCATTAAAGAGGCCCTCTTATGCTTTTTGGGGTTTTCCATTTCTCTTCTCTGTTTACTTCCTTAAGATAGTGACATCACTTTGTAACACTCACTCTTCTATAAACTAGCATTCCAACACATTGTACATGATAAGCTAAGAGGCGGGCATGTCTAAGCAGTTGACCAACCACAACAGAGCGGGCTAGCACAACATGTTGTGCCTCTTCTTATGTGCTGTGTGTGTTTGTGGTTCCAGAGAGATGCTGCGAGATCCCGAGATGAGGAACAAGCTGATCTCTAACCCCACCAACTTCAACCACGTGGCCCACATGGGACCAGGAGACGGGATCCAGATCCTCAAAGACCTGCCCATGGTAGAGACCTAAATCTGAACATTAGCACCACTTGCACGTTGTTAAAGACTTGTGTGAGCACAAGGAAGGGAGGGGATCATATAGGATTATCTCAAGGATCGTAATAAAAAAAAACACCAGCTATAAGTTGTAGGATATATATGAGATATTATAAAATAAAATAATAAGTCGAGCCAGATTCATAAAAAAACAATATTTCTTTATATTTATGAATACAGGGGAAACCTGTATCCTTGTAATGACATGTAATCCTTATTTTTATAAAAAAGATATGCAAACATAGTTTATTCCTAAACATGTTAAGTTAAAGTGATTCCAATAGGTTTAGGTTTGATGTTATTTATTCTTTATTAATGCAGGGGGAAGTCATGTTTTTACTTAGATATTTTATATTAATGGGGAAAAAAGCAAACTAATTTGATTCTTAGAACAAGATTCCAATATGTTTATGATTATCAAGATATTATTCCAAATGATTTGGAGCTGGATAATCATTACATACATGTGTTAATAACACACTGTGAACACCACAGGGGAGTCAGCACAGAAACACACGTGCACATTCAAGCAGACAACACTTGGGAGTGTGCGATGTGTTAGTAGCCCGGCTTCAGAGCCAGCCCCCCCTGGCCTTTAGCATGCTAACACTCAGCACCCGCTTTGTGCTCTGAGCGGCTTGATGTCTCCCACGCTGACCCTCCTCTTCATCACATCCCTTCATCCTGTGAAGTTCTCCCTCCTCCTGTCAGGCTGCTTTTATAGACACTGTGCATGCAAACCTCAGCGACCAATCACAGCTTAGCGTTCAGCTGCATGTAGTGTGTGTCACTGCCCCCTCCTCACTGCTGTCCCCTGCACTGCACTCCGTGTGTGTGTATGTTTGCTCCGTGCGTGTTTAAATCAGAACGTCCGTGTTCAGGAGAGCCGGGCGGGCTTCAGCGGCTCCGTCAGCATCCCCTCCATCACCAAGAACCGGGCGGAGCCGGGCCGCTCCATGAGCGCCAGCAGCGGGCTGGGCATACGTGAGTACGGAGCCGAATGAACTCCACTTTACTTCCTGTTTGCTGCTCCTCCCTGACCCCCCCCTCTCTCTCCAGGCTCCTCCTCTCAGAACGGCAGTGCACTCCGCAGAGAGCTGTCGGGGGGGAGCTACAGCTCCAAACGGCAGACCATGACCTCCCCCTCGGAGAGCTCCCTGTCCTCAGGGGGGGGCATGGACTGCGGCGACGCTCCGCTCTCACAGTTTGACAGAGAGGTGAGTAACACTGAGCGTAGAGCTCCATGTGCGGTTGACTAGATACTAAAACAAACCCTGTCTCTTTAAGAGGGCTGGTGTGGATGAGCTGAACCACTAATGTTCCACTAACTGACGGCTCTTTGTTAAACCAGGCTTTAGTCCCAGCTCTGTATGAACCCAAAGGCACTTCATTGTTTCCCTGCCATCCGACTGTAGACGCTAGTCTTGAAGATCAAATATTATAGAAGCGATAATCTTGCTCCCCATTCAAACACCTCCCCCTGAACCCATCCGTCACACGCATCCCGCCCCCGGGTGCAGGCCTCCACCTCATCCCAGTCACACACACCGTTCGCTCCCTGTGATGTAAGCGCTTTAAAGTGATACCTGCTGTAGCGTTAGCTCGGGCTAGCTGTTGCCTCTTAATGTGTGAAGGTCCCTGTAGTAAGTATATTCCCCAAAAACACAAACTAAATGACTAGGATGAAACGTAGCCATTGCGATTTTTGGGCAACTTCAACACGCCTGCCATCTCTCCCGTGGCTCCCCCNTGCTTAAAAATACTAAAATCACAGCCCATTCATTTCGCCTTTCTTTCATGCTGTGCAAAGAAAAAGCAACCTCTTCCAGATATCTTACCATGACTCGTGCATGCATTCACGTGCGCGGTGTGGCATGATCACCAAAACAGAAAGATATGGACTCAAGATATGTGCAAATGATTTTTATTTAGTTAAAAGCATCAATCTGGTGCACTTTGAGAGCAACATGAAGAGATCTATGGATACATCTCTCAACACCCATATGAAACAGAACTGTAAGCAGATTTATTTTTTCTTTATGGATATTTTACAAATCACTCTATTTTATACCTGTTTACTTTATTCTCTTGTTTTTTTTATAACTATAATGATCATATAAAGATGTGCCTTAAACTCACTTGTTGGAGAAAAAGCTTCTTATATTCGTTAGCATAGCTAGCTAACCAGATGCTAATAACAACAAAGTTATTGACTGTATGATCAGTATGACAGATGAACAGATCGCCACTGGGCTTTCAACTAAAGACACAGCCACGAAAAAACTGCGGCATGTGTACGGCTCCTTATGGGTACTGCAATTTTTGGAAGTGCTAAAGCGACGTTCTGATGCTCTCCGTCAGAACTGCACCCCTGTCAGACGAGACATATACCACGTGATGACACGTAAGGCTCGTGTTGTGTTCAAGGACCCTGACCTTGGCCAGGAAAAACAGGCACTCGCTTTTTTCTTTTTTCTAGATTTCTTTAATTTTCTTCTTTTTTGCGTGTGCTTATAAATTACCTCGAGGGCCGTACCAAATGGTGTCGCGGGCCGTATACGGCCCGGGGGCCGGAGGTTCCCCACCCCTGATCTATAGCATCAAAGGGAAGGTACATGCCCCAGCATGTATTAGGGACATCTGAGAAAGTTCCTGCTTGCATGTGTGCGTGCGTATCAATCATATATCTTTGTATTGATATAGCACGTTTCATAAAGGAAACACACATTAAACAAAGAATTTAAACCTCCCTCATTGTGCTGACAAATTAAAACACTTAATTCCAGCATAAATCAATAAACAGAGGACTTCATAATATCAACAGCATGTTAGGGCCGCAGCTTGCTCTGTATATCAAATGATACTTTGCAATAGTTTTTGATGATAAGGGAATACTATACTAATACATCATATTCTTATAAGCATGTGAAAGTTGGAGAATTTGTCTAAATGTTGCCTATTAAAGAGAAAAAACACTGAATTTAGTAATTTTTCTCATAAATGAACCACTTTCATTTAAGATATTCTGAATCTGTTCTCTTAATATAACCCCACTCCATCCCTTGCCTGGGTAATTGTTATTATTTCTTACCAACAATGGCCCTAAGACGCCAATCAATCTAATACATTTTATTCATAGAGCATTTTCTTAGGGGGCTTTACAGTGTGGACATCACATAACACCCTCTGTCCTTGGACACTTGTAATTAAGAAGGAAAAACTCCAAAAGAAATTCCACAATAATGAGGAAAGACATGGAAGACACTTCGGGAGATGAAGAGAGGGCTGCCGCTCACGAGACTCACAGATGTTGCTTGTATAGCTAGAATTACAACATAGACAATCCAAATGATAATGTGTGCGCGTGTCTCACCATTGGATGATTTCCGTGATCTGGGCCTCCCAGTGAGCCACACTCTCCTTCTTGTCGGCCAGCTCCCTCATCTCGTCCTCCAGCTGCCTGTTGGAGCTGCTCATCTTCTCAAACATGCTGGTGAGCTGCAGGGACACACAGGGAGAGAAAAAACATGGTATTAGCCATCATGCTAAAAGCGTAGCGTCGTCAAGCTGTCATTGGGAAGTATGACACCTGGTAAATGGATTAATATACAGTATATATACATATAGACGCCATGACATAACATTGCATCACTGAACTACTGTGTAATGAGTCTAACAGGTCACGTTGCTGCGGAAGCAAAGGTGCTCAGCCTTGAACGTGAGGACTGCTCCGATATGGAAAATGAATCATTGTATTGTTGAAGGTTATGACAGTTTTTATGAGTCAACTCCCAGATGATCAACCACGCTTGACTGCAGCGCTGCTGTAGAGGTGTGTGAACTCACACTCACACCCACTGAAACAAGAAGGGTGATATAACATGAGACGCCAGTGAAGACGTGACCTCATTGCAAGCCTCAAACTGCCCTATTGTTTGCTTCAACATTTCATTTGTGGGCGCATATTTTGGGTGTATTGCAACTGTAGAGACTGATGTAATGTGCAAGCTAAAACAGTCATTTATTATTGTTTTGAAATAGCTTTCCAATCTACGCTAGTGGCCAACAAATGTTTGAAATATCAGCTAGAAAATGATGTTGTTGAAAAAGGCTTCAAGCAACTAAAAATAAACAAGAATTTTGTTTTTAAGCACGTGCTTTTATTTGTTTGTAATGTCTCGCAGTGATGAAATCGTTGCGTATATGACAAGTGTAAGTGTGCAGTCTGTGGTTGCAAATAGCATCTCAAGCACCACATCAGAAACACATTGTACTTGAAGTTTAAATCTGCACTGCCATCAAGTGAAATGAAAAAAAGAGTCAAACTTGAAATTATATTTACTGTGTGATGTACATCATGGCATGCCAATTTACTTTGAGGTTTGGGGCTGCATATAAAGTCAAAATGATATCGAAGTCGCAGTATGGACTGGTGCCAAAATAGCAGGAAGAACAATATTTGTTTATGGCTAAATATGTGTTAAAATAACATTTTGAATGAAGTATTGTGCGACGATATTGCGGCCTACAAATCATATTGTATAGTATTATCAATCTCAGTGATTGTGATGTTAAATGTTTGCTTTTCTTGTATTGTGTCTTAATATCTGTCCTTATTAATGTTGCAAATGGAGCTGCTGTGAAGCAAGTCAAATGTCAGACTTGATCTGACCAATAAATGAATATCGTGTCGTAAGTGGAACAAGCCTTGCAGAAAAAGAAAATAATTTGGATAAGAAATATCTGGCAGTGGCACTAATCTAAAGCTCCTGTTCTTTTTCTACATATGTCATATATTCCCCCATAACCCTGTTTCTGTGGCTGAGCTGCCCCAGCAGAGCTCCACGTTCTGCAGTGTTACCCCACAGCAGAGCTCCACGTTCTGCAGTGTTTCACTCAACTTCACTGAAAACACACACCAAAAGGCATCATAGTTGAAGATGGAGCAGTCTGATTTAGCTGCTAAGCAAACAGTGTTGAAATTCATTGCCTTCTTGGAAAGATAAGACTATTCAAACAATAAGATTTTCACACACTCCAAATGCATTGAAGATCTGTTTTTGTGCAAAGAAGCAAATCATACAGACGGATCTAATCTGTCCGGAGTGCTTTAGCTTTAACAAATATCATTTCTCAGAATGTGAGAAAACATTAGAGTGACGTGCTATCATTCCAGTGTTAGCCACATACATTTTGTCCTCCATTTCGTCCAGATAGTTTCCATTTTATCAGCTGCAGACTTTAAAAACAACACTCTTTTATTCCATATGTCAAAATGCCTCCCACTTCTTTAAATTGGGAGCCTTATTAAACTTCCAACAGCTATTTCCAAAGTCAACAGAGTTGAATCCAGAGAGTCATTCCATCGGAGTGTGTAGAAGGCTGCAGGCTGGGGGATATTGAACAGTGATTTCTTTGGCACAGCCGGGACAGAGGGGGTGGAGGAATGAGATGAAAGGCCGAGTGGGGTTACCTGGGGTTAAGGAATTGTGGGTCTTTTTGCTAGTGTATGTGTGTTTTCTCAAGAGAAAAACAGACCACTAAGCTAACATGAAAGGAAGTCAAATAAAAAGGACAAATATTGACAGAGGAAAAGAAACTGGATTGGTTTTTTGTGTGTTTTCGGAGAGTTATTTGTTTATTTGCGTGTAAAAATGTCTTACCTTATCTAGTTCAGTGGACAGCTTCTTGTTCTCTTCGGTCAGCAGGATTCTCTCCCTCTCGTACTTCTGCTTGTACTCGGTCTCAAACTCTTCCCTCTCGCTTTGGCTGAAGAAAACACAAACATGGAGTGTTAAACTAGTGACTTGAATGATTTGTTGTCTTTCAGGCTTCTGAACTATATGAACTTATATACCAGGTGATCTTATACAGGGGTTTTAGAACAGTGCAGTATAAATACATTGAACATTCAAATGTTCTAAGTCGATGTCTCATCCATCCTCCTACCTTTGTGCCTGTGTGGGCCTCTGACTCCACACATTTCCTCAAAAGTGAAATCAAAAGCTTGGTACTGAGAACAGGTACACATTATTCAGCATAAACACATTCATACAGTCAGAACCTGATCCAGCACTGTTTGAACAAATGAATTACAAAGCAGTGAGAATAACATGTCCGAACAGCAGGCGGGAGAGTTAGACTACAGGGTACAAAAACAAAGCTCTAAAGCCTTCTCCTCAAAAACATTATTTTATTCAAATGTGATTAAACCAGCGGTTCTTAACGTTGGATCTGGGCCTCCCTAAGTACCTACCAGGGGGGTCTGAGCAGGGAAATACCTTTCCATTTCTCTGTATTTAATACCCGAGTTAGCACATTTTGACACGTCTTTCTTTTTTCAACTCCAAGAGGCCCTATCATGCTTAATGTAAACAGAGTCGAGGCACTAAATACAAATATGGACCTGAAAAGGAGAATAATATGTCCTCTTTAATGGCTCAGGAAAAATATTCTCTATAAGATCACCTTCCATGAGGAAAATAAAGTATTCTCTGAAAAGCTAGAAATGGTCTTCAGAATGCACACCTTCATGCATCCGTGTCATTTGGGTTGTTATGGAGGGATGACAAATATTTGGGAAGGGAGGTTACCTGAATGAAAGGTTATTATCTGGTTGGGAGCAACATTACTATAACATTCTAATAACATATTCATCTAACACTGGTAAGATAAACCACTCGCAGTCACTACACATTTATACCAGACTCGAGCTATTTTTAATATTACTGTAATTACCTCCCGCAGTCATCACTGGAAGACGCAATAAAGAAAAACAAAGTCATGTAATCACAGCCAGGATATAGGAGTCATAGAAACAAATCATTTGCGTTGATCAGATGTAGGAGAGAAACTGATGAGTACCTCTCGCGGCGAGTCTTGTCCAGCTTGTCTTTGAGCATCAGGATCTCTTTCTGCAGAGCGAGGTGCTGGCTCTCGGCGTCCCGCAGCTCTTTGCGCAGACCCTTCAGCTCGCTGCCGTGCTGCCCCTCCCTGCGCGCCAGCTCCTCCTCGTACAGGAGCGTCTTCTTCTCCAGGTCTCCCCGCAGGCGCCCCACCTCCTGGGTCTGGTCCGCTGAGGCGGCGGGGGCGGAGGACCCCTGCTTCACCTGGGCGAGACAAGTGATGTAAGTGAGGATGAGAATAGAGTGTTTCATAAGTGGGACTAATAAGACTCCCTGGATACTGTTGTATTTAAAAAATATATTTTTTTCTTAACATTTTGTGAAAACTTTATGGAAATATTTAGAAGTAAAAGAAAAACTTAAAAAGCTCCAGCGAACTCAGAAAAAGCTTAAAACATTGATTTGATTCAATGACATTTTTTAGCATAGCATTCATAGTTAGCATTTTGATATAATAGTGTCCAAAGTTTAAAACAGCACTTTGGCAAAACATGGCATAACATGGAAAATGCTTCATCGGGACCAATCATTCACACGATCCGCATTTGTCAGTCACAACGTCACTTGAACTATTGAGACTGCAAGGAATTGTGGGAGCACATTCTGTCCTTTTATAAAGGATGGTCCAATGTATGCTAAGCTAAAGGAGACAATAGAGTAAGCATTCATGTTCATGTTCTATCATCTTAAGCTCTGATCACATTGAGTCTTAGCTTGTATGGCTGTGCAGTGACTGCTGATGGAGGGGTTCATGTTCATCTGTGTTTGTTTGCACACTCACCTTAAGCCCTTCAAGCTCCTCCTCCAGCTGTCGGCTGTACTGCTCATTACGCTCCCTCAGCTTCCTCTCTTTCTGAGCCTCTGCTGTCTGCTCCTCAGAGTGCGCCTCCATCTGATACACAAACACACCATTGATTGGATGCAATGTATGTCATACACTTTTTCCAGGTTACAGCCACTGAAACATCGTTTATTCATCTGAGGCGTAAATGGAGTGGTGCAGTGATGACCTATTTTTGTAGGCCGACCTGTAAGTTAACATCGCAAGCGCTCCCTCCATAAAAATCTATGCGATTTTTCCATTGCCAAACAAATGCCAATGATATTTACACATCTGTTCAGCAGCATTATCTCCACATATACACATGTCTTTTATGATTGTTGTGGTGTAAATGCAACGTTGGGTTATAAAGTTAGCATGGTCTCATGGCATCACCAGGCTAGGCTAAAGGCGGGTAATGTTAGGCATGATGACGTTTCGTTTAGTCTCACTTAAAAACGTGTTAATAACCGCTTTGTTATGACACATAGAAGCTATAAGCATTAGTCAGTTGGGTGTTACCTGAAGTGTTTTATAATGTGGAACTAAACTTGAAAATCTCTTCAGCTTGTGTTAACAACAGACCTTATTTCAGGCATCAAACCAAAACATTTGATTTGTTTTGACTTTATCCAGAATGCTAAAATGCTAAATAATTCCCGGGTTTAAGGACTCATCCCTGACCACTCTATTTTCATGGAAGTTTATGAATATTTCTTAAGGTGATAGGAGTACTATACACAGAAAACAATAGATGATTGGAGACAGAACAAGGTTTGCTAGCAACACAGGGAGACTACTCTACCTCCTTCTTGGCCCTCTCAGCCTTTCGCACCTCGAGGCGGAGTGCCTCCACCTTCTGACCCTGACTCTCCACCTCCTCCTCTTTGTCCCGCAGCTGGCGGGCCAGGCGCTGCTTCACCGACCTGCAGGAGAAGATCAGTCAAAGGTGAGGAAAATAAAAGAATTAGCCATGAAATTAAATGGATCTTAAGCACCTAAAATGACAATTTCTTCAAAAACCAGTGAGAAATGTTCTGGGGCAGAGTTCCTACCTGAGGTCTGTGAGTCTCTCGTTGAGCTCTGAAAACTCCTGCATTGCCAGTTTTCTCTGGCTGTGAGCGTCCTTCAGCTCCTTCGACTGAGCCTTCAGCTTCTCGTTGGCATCCAAGATATCCTGGCAGAGAGAGGGAGGGTTCAGATAAACATTTAGAGTCTCACAGTGACTTGAAAGAAAATACAATGCTAAAACAAGCTAGATTTATTTGAATTTTTGGACACCAAAATCTAATCCGAGCAACCGTTTTTTCTATTGAACATTGTTATTTGGTTTGTGAAAACAGTACCAAAAAGATCTTGGTGTTCATGTTCATTTTGTTATACAATACATAATAATTGTCCCACGTTTTTTCGATTTATTTTACTTTCAATATCTGCTCTCATTTCACATTTACATTTCTCTTAGTGTGTTTATGTATTGTATGCACTATTATACACCAAAGCAAATTCCTTGTATGTAAACACCTACTTGGCAATAAATAAAGAACATTTTGATTATGCTTTACCATGATACATGTTGCAACAGACACATACGTGCAACTTCACACAATATAACACACTTTTATATGGAATTATTATCATGTCTTCTTAGGGCTCTAACAAAGACAAAATACACTACTTAGGTATTTTTGAAGCATTTTTTGTTCCTCAAGACAACGTACAAAGAGTTTTGTCATTATATCAGAGCCATTTCAGTTACAGCAATTAAATAAATATATACAGAAAATACTAAATGTATGCGGAGACAGAATCCCCTACTGGTTGTACCTTGTGCATGTCGTCCCTCTCCTGTGAGACACTCTTCATCTGTTTCTCCAGAGTCCTGGTGTGTTTAGAGGAGTCCTCCAGGTCTCTGCGGGCCAGCGACACGTCCTCCAGCTGCTTCTCAATCTGACCCGAGTCTGACAAACACATAAACAAAGGTATATCATCAACCCTGTTGTCTTCGGGTCAAATCTGACCGATTTACTACTTTCATCAATCATAATTTTTTTGTTTTACATTTGATTGGATTAAAGCTTTATGATATCCTTCACAGTAGACATTTGAACATATACAATGGCTGATCACCACTTTCATTGCATTTTGGATGATTTAGTCAACTTTGTAACACCCATGGTGTTCCCATAAAGAAAAGGCATTAGTAACCATCCGGATCAGATATGATCACACACACACACACACACACACACACACACACACACACACACACACACACACACACACACACACACACACACACACACACACACCCCTTATGTGCCCATCCCCCCCACATGGATCACACCTCGCACACGCAATACATGTTCAGTGTCTATTCTTTGTATATTTAATGCAGTTTTTCATGTACACCAGAAGTCTGATACAATATGTACAGTTTGAAAGGGTGTTAAATGAAATTTGGTGATGATTAATGGTTTGATTAAAGGACCGGTCAAATGTGACCGCTAACACCAAAGTAAGGGGGGGAAACGAAGACAATAGGAGGGTTAATACTCTTAATGTCTTTCATTTTTGTAAAGCACTTTGAATTGCCTTGTGTTGAAAGGTGCTATATAAATAAACTTGCCTTGCCTTAAATGTACTTTGTTCATTTCCATCACTGGTATTCTGGTTGAGGTGGGAAGATACAGTGTCATCACTTAAATTATTTTAGTACTTTGATTTAGGCATCTGTATATCATAGAACAACAACAACACTTCCATACTCCCTCTTTAGGCCATGGTGGCTGATCTATGCCCTCGTCTTTTAAAAGAGTAATGTTTAACTTCTAAATAAATAGTGTGCTAATCAATAATGTGTCCCTGGCTGTCCTCATGGTTCTAGTAAACGTCTATCATTTCCAGTCTGTTTCCTGACATCATGAAGGCTCTTTTGATTTTGTTTGTTTTAATGAATTTGGACAAACTCCTGAAGACGGCACACTGCACAGAAACACAGTAAGTTGATTTGGTTACATTTACAACAACATGTTTCCTATTCATTTCTAATCTGTGAGGCAACTGAATTCCACAAAGAAAACAGGTTGTGACACACTTATGCAAACATGCCTTGTATGCGTGGTCTCTGAAAGCAGATGACAACGTTTATAAAAGCTTATAAAAATGTCAATAATACATTTGAAAACATTGTGAGGTTCTGCATCAGCTGTACTTCACCAATGTCTTGTTTTCTTTTTATTTAGAGACCAAGTTCTATCAATCACCCCAAAAACACAGGAGCAAGTAGACATCTTGAAGACTGTTTCCACTCAATATGAGGTAGGAGTTGGATTTTTCTTCATCTGTGATTTTATTCATCTTCTGTGAATCACCTTGTTTGCCTGATTTCTCCCAGACAGCCTTGTGGCAGCCTGTGTCCCCTCATTATATTAAAGAAGACACTCAGGTCCACCTGTTCGTCCCTGCAAACAGCTCAGAGACTGTGAAGGACCTGCTGCAGAGACACGCCATAACACACGAGTACGTCTCACACATGATTATTACATTCGATCCAAGCTGAGCAAGCTGTCTGGAGTTGTTCTTGTGTTTTTTCAGGGTGCTACTGGCGAACCCCAACGAGCTGATTGAAATGCAGACGAGGAACGACTCCACTGACCCGAGGAGCAGCTCGACCTTCTACGAAAGATATCACAGCCTGGAGGATGTATGCTTTCCATCTTTAAATATCAGCTTCTAGCTACATAGCGTTGACTTTTTGGTGATTGTATGCACAAATGTTAATGGGTGTTGACATCCAAACACACTGTGTCCATTGTAGATTTATTTCTGGATAAACAGGACTAAACAGGACAACCCGGACACTGTGAAAGTCATTCTCATTGGCTCCTCATTTGAGAAGCGTCCACTCTATGTTCTAAAGGTAAACTGATTAATTACATTATACGCTGCAATGTGAATAAAGTTGTTTTTATAAATATGGATTTAAATGAAGCCTTTCTCTTTCAGTTGTCTTTAAATAACAGGCCGAATAAGAAAGCAATGTGGATAGATTGTGGGATCCATGCCAGAGAGTGGATCTCTCCTGCTTTCTGCTTATGGTTTGTACAATATGTGAGTATATTAAATATAGTGGGAATGTACTGAACAAGTTTTTGTTTTGTTTTATACCACGGTTTCAATGGTTTTTTTTGCACAGTCTTTGTCATTTTACCAGTCAAACAAAGACATTGCTAACATCCTGGACAACATGGATGTCTACGTCCTGCCTGTTTTGAACCCTGATGGATACCATTACACATGGACAACAGTAAGAGTAGATGATGTTGATAAGTGCTTGGATGGTTGTTAAGGAAGATGTTTAATCTGGATTCATTTGCTTTTGTCTCAGAACAGGATGTGGAGGAAGAACCGCTCGACCAACATGAGCACCAAATGCATCGGGGTCGACCTCAACAGAAACTTTGATGCCAACTGGTGCAGTGAGTCCTTTTCCATCAACATGATCCATGTTTTAGGAAAAATGTGTACTTGACAACTGGACTTTGACTGACATCTGAACACACTCAGATTATAGTTAAGACTACATCTTGAAAGTTTGTTGTGTGTGTAAGTGCTACTGAAGTGGGAAAGCTTGGTGAAATGTTTTTTGCAAAGAAGGCATTGTTTCGGAAAACATTTACAGATGCAAATATCCAAAGCTAGTGACACAAAGAAGATGCATTCAAAAACAATGTCTGAGATTGCATATGCGAGGCTCACCTATATATAAACTAAAGTGATTGTGTTTTCTCTTCCAGCGGAGGGAGCCTCTGATCAGCCCTGCACTGAGATCTACTGCGGGGCCTTCCCTGAGTCGGAACCAGAGACGCTGGCCGTGGCCGACTTCCTGCGCAGCCACAAGCACATCGTCCAGATCTACTTCAGCATCCACTCCTACTCTCAGATGCTGCTCTTCCCGTTCTCCTGCACCTTAGAGGAAGCAGAGAACCACAGCGAGCTGGTGAGTGGTTGCATTTATAGACGAGATCTTTCAACATAAAAACTCAGTTGCACCTCCAAATGCTAGAAGACATGCTAGCTGTCCACTGTTGCAGTAACGCACATTTCCCTCACATGTTGTCACTTGAGGTTAAACACGGAAACTCTTGGTAGTTTTTTCTAAATATGTGTTGTTTTTTGTTAAGCTTGAAATGGTCCAAGAAGCTGCCCAGAAAATCCAGAGACATTACAGAAATATCTACAAATATGGTTCTGGAGCAAAGACAATATGTAAGTAGTGCTTTGTTTGAAATCTAAATCAGCTATGGTAAATTCAGGGACTTTCATATGAATGTTGTTGCTCAACAGACCTGGCTCCTGGAGGTTCTGATGATTGGGCGTACAACCTTGGCATCAAATACTCGTTCACATTTGAGCTCCAGGACCGCGGAAGCTATGGCTTCCTCCTTCCACCATCTCACATCTCCAAAGCCTGCAACGAAGCTCTGCTCGCTGTGAAGACTATTGCTCTGAAAGTCGTTGAGAAAACAAAAGCTCTGACAACTCCGGCTTAAACTGTCTGAGCAGGGACATCAGTGACTTAATATAATGGAATAAAAACGGTATCAAAAACAGAATTAACTGATTTAAGTTACAGATGAAGGGAGGAATAAGTTAACAGTGTGTCACCCAAAGTGCGTCATCATGCAGATAATAGTGATGAAGGCTATTGTGGTGTTAATAATATATTATCTCAACCACACCCCTGTCAGATGTGATGCAAAGGAATACAGCAGCAGTGCATTCAAAATAAATAAAAACATATCAAAAAACTTGCTGTGTGAATGTTTAATGTTTGACTACTTTCTGTATGGCAGTACCCTATCATATGAATATTGTAAAGTCATGGAATTGATCAAATGAAGTTGGAGTTCTTATTGTGTTTTAAAGCAGTAAATAGCATCAACCAGAGCTTATCAACATATATCTCTTTTTAATACTTTTTTGACATTTCTTTAGGCACAGTGTCCCTCAATTTATTTTTGAATTACCTCAGTCTGTGTTTCCTAAGTGTTAAAACACTGTTTGTTATGCCGATTGGATGGAATCCAAAGTGATAATCTTGGCTTTAAAGTCTCACAAGTCCCCCAATTTCATCCTCCTAATGGACTCTAATGGCACTCAGAATTTGGCAAATGCTCGTTGGATCTTTCAGGACCAGAATCAGCAGTAAGTGTTGGCACTAATGGCAGCAGCCGGAGCAGCAAGACGCCTAGCCAGGGAGCGCCGCCGCAGGACCAACACATGATAAATCACTTCCACGCAGGCCAAAACGGAGCCAGATCACAGCTGAAAAGCCGAGCTGAAAGTTGGAAGGAGGAGCTGTCTTTACAGATTAAAGAAAAATGTCATATGTCTAACACAAAATGATCATTCAAGGAATAAAAACACGTGATACATATGTGCATAAAGATTTATTTTTTGTTGAAAATAAGTGTTTCTCACATTGAACCACTAACATATCTGATGTGAATAAGATAAATGAACTATACATTGACACTGATGTTGACTTCAAACAATGTAACAAGGCATTTGTATCATCCGTAATGTGTAAAGACAAGTGTTCTGTACATTTCAATGATTGTTTGATCAGTTGATTGATACTGTCTCTTTGGGTGAGATTGATTGTACTCAATGTCAGTGTGACAGTACAACGTCATGCACACATCATCCACAGTATGTCAACGTTGGGATCTTCTGAAGGAATTTCCCCAAAAGGTGCGGTTTCCTTATTTTAAACATTCGTTCATCTTTTCATTCATTCATAGTTAGGCGGGCCTGCTGTGAATTTCACTTCCAGTACGACTCCTTCACAGTGGTGTTACTTGACATCCGTTCAGATACTTGGTGATTGGTCTTGCACTGTCAAAGAAGTCCCAAAAGTGCAACAAGAAAAACACAAGCAGAAGTAAAAGAGGACCAAAAACACTGCCATCCCTGCTCGGACCTATGGCTGGTTTCCCAAGAAGCATTTCGCACTATGATCCTCTTTGGCGATGGCTTTTCAAGATGGTTTTGGCACCGTGCTGCCTTTGGGAAACCCCGAACATTTACTCCTGTTAACGTGAACATGGGAGGTCAAGTGTTGTTTTAATCTTTCAAGGGAAAAATCCACCCTGTGTCCGAGGAGTGATGTATGTCAAAATGTTGCCACCTTTGTCTACTTCTGCTAGATACAGAAAGCAGGTAGAAACCGTTTTTTAGAAGGAGTGGATTTTTTCTTTAAACCCCTCCATCTTTAATCTATCTAACATGAATTCATTTGCATTCTAATTTTCTACCACCCCTCCCATCCATCACCTCCGACCGGCTGCTACTGCACGCTGCAGGCGGGGCAGCACGCCTCCCTCCGGTCCGGCAGGGGGCAGAAGTCCATCTGCCTCACGATCTCAGCGAACAGCTCGTCCACCATGGTCTTGCTCTTGGCCGACGTCTCCATGAAGGGGCAGCCCCAGTCCTCTGCCAGCGCCTGGCCCTCGCTGGGGGACACCTCCCTCTCCTCCTCCAGGTCCACCTTGTTCCCCACCAGCACCACCGGCACCTGCTGATACCTGGAGATGAGAGAGGAACATCAGAGGAGTGTGCATGTGAAACTCCCTGCTTTGTTGCAAGCTGCATTTCTTAAGGGTGACTAAACTCAGTGACATCATGAGTGTGTGTGTGTGTGTGTGTGTGTGTGTGTGTGGTGTGTGTGTGTGTGCATACTGTATTTGTTAGAAGCTGAAACAATAAGGGGTTTGAACAATGCACAATGGAGCAAGAGGAGATGGATAAACAGCTACATTCAGCTCAGCTTCCCAGGAGGCCTGCACCCCCCCCCGGTGTCTGATATCAGTGGGGGGTCCCATTAGCAAACTGTCACAGCGGAAAGAAATAACTGCAATGCTCTATTTACTCCTGGATGCATCATTCATGTGCTGCATGCAAGCTGTACATTTAAAGACTTCCAAATTCTTTAAAATGATTGTAAGTTCAAAACGCACTAAGCATTTCTTGAAAAGCTTTGTTCCCGCAGTGTGTGGCCGACCATCCCACTCATCTCCGTCCATCAAAACAAGGAAACCAGGCTGCGGAGAGTAATGGTATAGCTTATTGAATAATTGAATGAGGCTAATGTGCTGCTCTCTGAACATAGGCCTTGTAACTTAGAAATAACTATTTTCTACTTGACATAAGCTCCTTGTTTCTCATCATTAAAAAACTCTACAGTGTCATTGTAAGAGCATGTCCAGAAGGCACATGTGACCAGACTTTTTCCAATGTTTAATACCAACATGGGGACTTGGGATTGCACATAAAAAATTAAAGTAGCAACTACCTATGCAGATAAAGTTAGTTTTATAGGAGGACGTTCTCAGATATAGATTTAAAACAGGGACTATTTCTTCAGTAGAAGAAAGTAGTTCCAATGATTGGTTATCCATGTTGCTTCTGGAAACAAAAATACTCTGTCGCACAAACATGTTGTACAGGTACTAGATATTTCATTTGACTTAGAAGCCCTTCATGTTTCCTCAAATTAAATAACTACAGCATGTTAATTACAGAGAGGATAGATTCTCACTACAGGTAATGGTGCAGGCCAGCTAATAGCCCCGATCATCAGTCATCCCTAAGTGCATTCAGAGCGCGGCGTATTGATCTGATGGTGCTATAGAGAAATGAGCTCTTATCTACAAATTGGTGGCCTGCTGCCACACTGCTCAGCAGGGAGAAGAGCTGAGGCGTGGAAAAGAGCCACGTCTCCCTGAGCCAACGAGGGGCCGAGAGAGGGAGGAGATGAAAGAGAGAGGTGGAGGACATCTGAGCACCTGCTGAAGTGTCCTCGAGCAAAACAGAGGCTCTCCTAGCTTCAAGGGGGCTGATGTGTGCCTGAGCTTGACCTCTGACCTCCCTCAGGGATTCACATGACTGGAAAAGCATCTTAAAAAGTGCAAATGGAAGTAAAATAAATAAATAATTGCAAATGAAGTCAGGGAGTTCTTCCTAATTGGTTACCAGACATGCTTTAAGACTGTCAAGGAGAGAAAACTCGCTCAGAAAATGTCAACAGCTTCCCTGCAGCTTGACATTTCCCCACCGCACTGTACACACACACACACACACACACACACACACACACACACACACACACACACACACACACACACACACACACACACACACACACACACACAGCAGCTGACCTCAGCAGGACGAGCATCTCGCATGGCCGTGGATAAGATGGAGTCTAGAGGGTGTGAAGTGTGAACAAGGAGAGCACCATGCAGACAAATGCAATGTGACAGCCTCGCAGGAGAAACTCTATATATAACTAAAAAGACACAGGGAGAGCCAGCTTCTCGGTGGGGAGGTTTTACAGAGTGTTTGTTGCAGCATCAAACTACACCTCCCTCCTCGCCAGAATAACTGAATCTGATCAACCCAGCACGAAGGAAAGTGAGCCTGCGGGGATTTGTAGACTGATATCATGCGTGATTGAAGAATATGTCACTCAATGTCTGACATTAAACACGGAGTTTCTTGCTAATGTTTTCATCTGCTTTCTACATTTCGGAAGGATATACTTTTTACTACACTACATCTATTTGCAGATTAAGGTTTGAAATAAAAACCCATAATGAGATCGTGAATGTGATGCATCGTTATAGATTAACTGACTCAATTGTACATAAAGTCAATCAAATTAGCTCAACCGCGACCAGCTACAACATTTAAATACTGTTTATATTGCAATGCATTAGAAAAGCCAATAAGATAACACTGTCAGAGGCCATTCTTTAAGATTAGGGCTATGTGTTATATACAAAGGGTTTAAAAGGATGTTTCCAGGCTAATTGTACTGGTTTATTGCATGCAACTTTACTGCTTTGATATGGTATCACTTTACCCACAGCTTTGAAAACAGATGTATCTCCATGACACCGTCAAAATAAAATATGTTCTCAGGGTTTTTGGAGGAGATATGGTTGCCAATGCTTCAAGTACTTTTTTTTAAACATACTGAATACAAAGCAGGAGAAACTAACAAACACTGCTAACGTGTTTTGGGTCCAGCACAAGAGTTGGCAGCTATGCATCCTGGGAATTATCAGCACAGTTGGAATGTGTTTGGATTGCTTGGCTGTACGAATACGCAGCTTTTTGTTTTGCGGTGGGAGCGGAGTCACGTTGCATTCAGGGAACAGGCAACAGCAGGTGGTTGACAGGAAATGAAATTATAAGGAGATATGGATGTTAAAAATCTGTATCCATTTCCACAATATTGCTGGGAAAACACTCTTTCAGAACGATACTCTGGAGAGTGTTATCAGCCGCGGGGCTTTTCACAGGAAAGTGCTGATGTCCACTTTTCCTGAGGCCATCATCTGTATGTCAATTTGTAAAAAGCTGCTGCTGGATCCTCATTAGTGGAAGCAGAAACCTAAATAACTAGCTGATATACATTTGGCCTTTAAAGCACAGTTAACACCCTTTGCCTCTGCAGGGTGTTATTCCTACTGTGGTGGAAAAGGCACACAAAGAGAGTCAGTGTTTATACCTCACAAAAAAAATGGATTCGTAAATTTTCCACTTAGCTTTAGGGTACAACAGCCGCATTACTGCTACCTGCTGTGCTAAGTGGCAGGAGTGACTTCACTTACTCGTTTTTACAAGCCTCACAGCGCCGGCAAACACATGCAAATTACAGAAAACTCATGCCTTTGCAACCTGAAGGCATCCAACCAGGGGCGTCAGCTGACCCAATACTATACAGGGGCACAACAGGGGCACAGAAAAAAAAAATGTTTTGCAGTTATTTCTTTGAAAAAAGCATGGGCACAGATAATTAATGCAAGCACGCGAGCAAACATTTTTTTGCACTTATTTATTATAATAAAGTGTCATAAATAAATAGTACAATCAGATTGTTATTTTCTGCATCATTAAATATCTAGCCTACCTGAACCAAACTGAATTGAATTGGCCTACTTGTGAACTTAACTGTATACAGTATCTCTAAATCACTAACTGATGAAGGCAAAAGAGGCACAATGAATCTTCATGAAATATCTGTCAGCAAACATGGACTTGAAAACTGAAAACTGAAAGAGAACCCCCCATCCTATGATGGTGTGATGGTGACTATCCTATGAGGTGTGTACATGGTCAGAGAGATGGGAGAGGTCTATGTTCATTTTTTTTAAAGTAAACTGTAACGTCTCGGTTTCAGTTTTGCAAAGCTATCAATCAATTGACAGTGGCTTAACTTGGAGAGTGCTCCTGTCTCAACAGACATGATGGCAAGATGGTGGAGTTAAGCCACTGTCAATTGATTGATAGCTTTGCAAAACTGAAACCGAGACGTNGCAATAAACCGCCCTTCTAGTAAGTGGCCCGGCCCTTTGAAGATTTTTCTGTATGTCGCCGTCGGTGAAAAAAGTTTGGACACCCCTGCTTTAGAGGAAGTGGTTTCTTGACTTGACCACAAAACGTTCTCTGAGTTTGGGATAGACAACTCCAAGTAGCCAGTTGTGAAATAGTTGCTAGCAGCTTGCTGGAGAATGAATCCAAATCTGACCTAGACTAGACAGAAACAAAGGCAAATATTGTTTGACCCAGATCACGGCAAACACATTAAAAGCATCTATTCTATGTACTTATGTTGTTGTATATTTTGTATTGGTCGTTTCTGTATTACAGGTCCACTAAATGTCTCTTTTTGCTCCTTCTCCTTTACTCTCTCTGTCTCTGTCCTGCAGATTATCCTGAAATAATTTTCAGGAAGGGAATGGAGTGTCACGAAGCTACACTAGGAAACCCACAAGAGCCCCTGTGTAAATACTACATGACCTCTCCCATAGAGGTCCAGCAACCTGCATGCTAAGAGTGTAACACTTCAATTTAACCGTAAGAACTGCAGTGCCGGTGTAACACACACAAAAAAAAAAAGAAAAGATATATACTGTATGTATTGCTAGAAAAAAAAAAAACTATTAACTTGAAAAAGTCAAAAATATTCTGTATAGTACTACATACATAGCAGACACACTATAAAGGTCGTTTTAACAACTGTTCTCCCAAAGTACCGTCAAACCCCTCTTTCATATTTATTCTAAAAGCCGCTGCACAACGTTCATCCTTTTGGTTAGTATAGAGAAAAAGATTTGCACTATACGAGACATATAGTGCTTGAGTGGAAAGCAGGAAGAGTCACAGGGTTAGGGCTTTTCTAAAAGTTGAATGTCCTTGGGGCGGACAGGCTCATGTTTTGTTAACGTGACGGTCCCTGCGAGGGTCCTCTGCCCCAGATGCTGTTAAGATGCCATGATGAAGCTCATCCATCCCTCCCCATGCCAACTTTTCATCTCCGGAAACATCTTGCCAAAGTTGAAGAGGTCGGTGGAATCGACCTGCCAGAAGCAGAGCCACATTTGAAACCCCCCGATCATTTTTTTTCTCTTTTGCCATTGCGAAAGCTGCTCACGACGCACCCTTTATTTGTTCCGGTGCTCAGGAGGAGTGGTGGGATAGATTGTGCACGGATTTCTGCATGCAGTCTGGACTGTGGGGAAGACAGTGTTGACAGAAGACAGTCGTGGCCATTACCGAAAAAAGCCTAAAGGCTCGGGTCTGTGCCAAGGGCTTAACCAAGCTCTAGGGTTCGTTCCAGACATACCAAGCCTTGTGTGTGTGCGTGTGTGTGTGTGTGTGTGTGTGTGTGTGTGTGTGTGTGTGTGTATGTGTGCATGTGTGTTCGTACCTGGAGACGGGTGGTCTGCCGGCAGACTGGGACTTGAAGCGAGGTCTAGCAGGTGACAGGAGGACAGGTTTTTGAGGGGGTGGGAGAGGGTATTAAGTGCTAAACAAAAAAACGGTGCATTTGACGACGCACGTCAAGCAAAAGATGACTTGAACTACGACTGGAGGGCTATCTGTGACCGTCGGTTGTCCTGTCCAACCCTACTATCACCGATAATCCTGTTCCATTTTAGAAAAAAACTGTAGAAGTGCCTAAAAAATGCTCATGAACAACACATTCATTCAGAGGGAGAAGTCAAGGACACGACACACCGGCTGTCAGGACTGGAGGACTTTTTCGGGGAAGACATCACATTACGGAAAAAGGTTACTAGAAAAACCCCTAGTAACCGTTCATTGACATCACAAGTGACTTTATGGAAACAAAATAAGTTAAAGAAACGACAAATCAAAAATAGCTTTGTAGAATGTTTGGTGACTTTCACAGTGTACCATCGTTTCTTACCATGGTTTGAGTAGTTTACATGAGGAACGTGAGTGCGAAAAAAAATGTATTGTAAACTGTGTAATGTATGTAAAGTGTCTCTTATTTTGAGAGTTTATATTTCATGGTTCTAGAAATGTATTCAAAGTTATTTAAAGATTTGTGTTGTGTCTACTATCAAGGTATTTTTCAACACCCCCCACCATCTTCACCTCCACCCAGAACAATCATTAGTTTTTAGCCAAGATTTTATTATTTTTAGAGCAACCCTCTCATTAATACTTTGAATAATGTGTTTTAACTCATACTAAATCTTATTTCCCATATTTCAAAAACTCTGATGTAATTTCATGGTGCTCGATTAACATTGACAATCCACGATCACACCTTTCTAAAGAGTGCTTCACTCTTGGTTTTTTTATTTCCTCCACTCTTGATTGTCTCCACTTATTTGTATGTAATATTTGTGGAAGGTGGTAAAAGTTTTTATTTTGTTGTAATTTATCTTATGTTACTCTTGGTCAAATTTTAGTCGAAAACAATGTTGTTAACTATTTTGAAATGAATGTAATTTATTGAGCTGTGCTACGTTCTGCACGGTTGGTCATTTCAAGGTCTAACCTGTGAGGTCAGCCAATGAGAAGCCGAGAGGGGTGGGGCTTAAAAGTCAAGCCACCAATAGGAAGCTAATGGATCTTTCTTGCCTTCTCATCGATAAAGAGATCACGGGTTGCAGTAATGAGCATAGTTATAGAGTTGCTTGTGTTGTTGGAAAAAAAATGTTTATTGTATAGATGACATTTTACCAAAAAAAGAGAAGAAAATTTCAAAAAAGATGTACTTTTCACTCTAGTATAATAGTATTTCATAACAATATTAAGTTGTTGCTGTGGCAACCAAATGTTGCAATTGCTAAAGTTGGGTATTTTTGTAAATGACATCGTTAAGTTGATTTTTGTTTCTTTTTTGCTAGAACACTGTACACAAGGTAGATTGTAAAGAAGATATGAACATTTCTTATTCTTCACTGAGATTACGACCTAATATTTTCATTAGCAAAGGACGGCCTGTATAGTGCTGTGACTGTAACACTTCAATAGATGTAAAGTCATCAATGTTACATAGATTATATATAAATATATATATATATATATAAGAACTAAATAATCTATAAATTAAGATGTACAACTTTTCCCCCGACAAAGGACCTTACGGTTCCACACTGAGACCTTTTTATTTGTTGTTAAGGATTGCACTTTTCATATTGTTTAAAGATGTGATCTGTTTTTCATTTCCTTCTAAAGGGGCTGAGACAGTCCTTCACTCTGCAGTCAATCTGTTTATCAATCACAAGCAGACTCCACCGGTAAATCACTTTAACTCCACATGTTGCATGAGAAAACAATCTTTTCTTTTCTTACTAAAACGATTACGTACTGAATGTTTCTAGTGAAAAAAATAAGTCTGTACACAAACATGTCCTCATTTGGTGACCCACAATGCCCTTGTGTAAGGAATCCTCTTGAGCTGTAGTGTTTTTTTTATTTGAAATGTGTTGGCAATGATTGACTGATGGGAAAAAAAGAAAATGTAAGCACTTTCTGAGCAGTTTGTCAACTGAGCAGACTCCGCTTATCCAAACACTTTGCCTTATCTTGAGTCCATCGTGCTTAAGGTTTTATGTTTTTACTAGCTCTTATTACATTAAAAGAGACTTGATCTCGAAATCCCTTCTCGGTTTCACTTGAAATACTTTATATCCACCATCTTAAGGTTTTAATGTGCGCATCACAAGGCCAGGGGAAACTGCAACACAGAGAAGAGTCCTCTGTGTTCTTCTGCTTTCTAAAATCTGTACTGAGATGTTTCTGTTTGGAGATGTGATTGACAGCTTTAGCCAGCAGAGGGCGGTACACTGGAGACTGCAGGTTAGACACTGTGACTTCCTGTGCCATCCTTTGTTGCAAACTACCCCCCCCCAACAAAGTAAAGACAAATTGACAAAAAGACCCTCATCGGATTTATAGTTTCAATGTAATCATTTTTAAATGTGTTTTTTTTTGTTGCATATATTTTGTGCTACTTTTATGTTTCTATAGTCAAATGTTTCTTCGGTTCCAGCAAGATAGTGTAAAATCTATTGAAAGAAAGAAATAAAGAAAATCAAAGAAATGTTGTGTCCCAATCCTTAATTTGTGTCATGCAAAGGTCTCGAAGCACCATTTTTATTTGCAGGAACCACTTTAAAGCAGATCACAGGTGATTCGAACATGTTGTGAGGCCGATATCTGGTCAGTGTTTTAATGCTGCTTTCATAGAAGTGGCTCCAAGCTGTCCGCTGTTATGCTTTCACCACACGTGATGAACATTATGATAAGGCTCTGGGACAAACAAACTTAATTTGTTGTTTCTTTGTCATTTCCTGTTGCTGCAGTGGAGCTTGTTGGCAGGGGAAAATACATTTATATATGAAGGGTCAACAATACTATTGCTTTTAATGGATTAGTATTGATGGTGAAGAAAAAACAAACCGAAGACTTTGGTGAGTATATTTATGTGAATATAAATTGTATTCCTTATGTGTTGGCAACATTTTTATTTTTGCAGTGTATACCAAACACTTTGCTGAGTGTGAGGAGCATCTCCGGTGGTAGGTGAACCCAGTTTCCCTCAGATTTGCAGAATAAGTTCCATCTTTTACATTTCAATCTTAGAATTATCTTTAAAAAATACTATTTATAAACCCAGGCACATTTCTTGTTCATTCCAAAGTGTCTAATGTTCTCTTTGTTTTTCTCTAATGTTATTGCCTTCTATTTCCATATCACCTTTTTAATTAGTTCATTGACTATAGTGTCGGTATCAGTTATTTAGAAAATGCCAAAAACCCATATTTATGAGTGACAAAGCCCTTTGGTGCCCCTATGATGTGATGTTATAGAGTCTGGGGCATGGGACCAGCATCCATTGTTCACCTTTTATTAGTCTAAACTTAACCACACTTCAACAATAACTATGTTTATTTGCAACATCGATGTGTATTAAATTGAATATGCACTGATATAGCCTAGTGTAATTCCAAAATGAGGGCTAATAATAGTTTGCTTACAATAAAGAAAACTTCCTCTGACAGTTTAAATAACAATATGATTAAGTAACACGGCTTCAGTATCAGTTTCATGTTCCATTATCATAAGCTTCTCTTATATCTTTGTCAATTCTATTCTTCCACTGTCTCTATGTGGCACTAATCACCCCCCATATTTTCCAGGAAATAGTAACATCATCCAGTGGCTGCACCGACTCCAGAGGCGTGGATTCCCAGCAGCTCTGGAGCCTCCTTAAGGATAAATAGGCTCTTCGCCTTTAACGGTACTGTACCCCACTGAGTGTGCAGACATACTGTTAGCCTATTGTTTTGCACATAAGAAGATGTGCCGTCTAGTTGTTGCTAATAATAGCCAATCTTATTTTTACCACACCGACGCCTTATTGCATTATGGATGCCACTGGAATCCCTGCAAGATAGCGTGGGAATATTTCAGTAGAGGCTGCTCCTCTCTGGGCTAAATGCTCCAGCATCCCGCCTGTCTCTGCAGCAGCATCTCCTCCTCTGTCTCCTTCTCTGCGCGCTGTTCCTGTGTCATGGCTGTGGTGTGAGTCTAGACTGCTGTGCGTGGGGATGCGTTTCTTTTATCCGCTGCTGTACACTTTATTCTCTGCATGCGGGGTTTAGGTCCACAGGATGCGGGAGTATAAAGTGGTGGTGCTCGGCAGCGGTGGGGTGGGGAAGTCCGCCCTCACGGTGCAGTTTGTCACCGGGACATTTATAGAGAAGTACGACCCGACCATTGAAGATTTCTATAGGAAGGAGATCGAGGTGGACTCCTCTCCGTCGGTGCTGGAGATCCTGGACACAGCCGGCACCGAGCAGTTCGCCTCCATGAGGGACCTTTACATCAGGAACGGACAAGGCTTCATCCTGGTCTACAGTCTGGTCAACCAGCAAAGTTTCCAGGACATCAAGCCCATGAGAGACCAGATCATCAGGGTGAAAAGGTGAGACACTCCTTATAAAGTCTTGTTGCAATAGGGATGATGCTATCCTATTAAGGTCCCTTTAAATTGTCACATCCTGGTGGGGGAATGGACACCAAAAGTTGGTTGTGTTAGTGGAATAGGAATGTAATTGTCATCCTTTTGATTTATAGTGGAATACAATTCTCATCATGGAGAACCCCAAGGATCCTCCCAAGGGCCCTTAAAAGATCAAAATTATCCCACGCCAAAATGTAAGATTAGGCCCAGCAGGAAACATGCCAAAATATCATCCCTCCTCTTCCTCTTGTGTCTGGATCCCCTCCAGCGCTGCGTGAGAAGCTGCAGCTCATATGTTCCCCATAAGAGGCCCAGCTGCGGCTCACCTGTCATACATCAACCCGCTGAACTCTCCCTGGGATTGATATCCTCTGTCTCTCTCACATGACTAACTCTGGATGGCTTTGATCAGTTCAGACCATTACTCAACAAATCCACTGAGCTCATCCTCGGCAGGGAGAGAAAGAGCGAAAGAAAAACTGGGATATTTCCTTTTGTTGGTCACATATCGGTCTTATGGTTTCCCTTAAAGGACATAGCCGGACCACAGTGCAAGTGAGGAATCTATTTGTGTTTTCATCAGCTAAATCTAAACATTATGAAGGAATTGAAGAGATTGTTTGAAATCGGTTTGGTGTCATGTCAATAATTTCCCCTTTTTAAAGTTTAAAAACCTTTTTGCAGATTCTTTTCTCCTCATCTGTCAAAATGAAGGCGAGCAAATTTACAATTAAACCCTCCAAAAAATGAAGTGTAATAATTAAAAGGGCTACATTTCCTATTTCCTAGACAGCCTTTAAATTGTGATAATGGACAATTACAACAGACAGTTTGGACAAGACATTTAAAGAAATAGGAGTGTCTGTTTATTGTGAAGTTGCAGCTAGGAGATGGTTAGCTTAGCAAAAAGACTGGAGTCAGGGGCAAACTGCTAGCCTGACGCCCTCCAAACTGCACAGTTGTGTATGTGCTGGACTTCTACTTCCGGGAATACACTGGTCCAACAAAAAATAGGACCAAATTGTAAACAAATATCCTTTAACCTTTAGGGTTGGTTGTCACAGAGTAGACAGAGCCATCCTGTGTCTTAGGATTTATTTGTCCTATCTCACATGCTGTGTTCCTCCTATTCCCCCAGCTGTTCATTAGTAAAACGGACAGAAACACAATTATCCATCTGCATGTTGTGTTATAGCAATCTATAATTTAACCTGCATAGTTTGGTGCAGTGCTTTTCACCTCCACACTCCCCACAGTGAGCTGAGTGCTCCTGTGGCCCAGACGTCACAGGAAGCAGTAGAGCGACACTGCTGACAGAAACACAGCGGGACGAGTGGGTGAGGGAACTCCTTTTTGAAAGGAGAAATATAACGAAGAATAAAACTGTGTTGTGCCGCCTCTAGTCGCTAGCCGCCACCCCGATGCAGCAGCCACCGCCATCCTCAAGTGTATATCCATCAATATTTCATACTTTTATTTCACACTGCTCTGCGTCTGAAGTAGAGATTCTGACTGTATGTTTTCATTGCATTAGTGTCTCATTTCTGAGCGTGCAATGGGACAGTGCAAAGGCATTCATGCAACATCTCTGCCAGTTTATATAAGGATAGGCTTTGTTGTTCTTTAAACATATGCAGACATTTATTTTTTTATGAAACAAGCCACCCAATCAGCTCCTGGTCTCCATTAGCTGCCTCCAGGAGATCAGCCTCCCTCCTCCCAAACTTCTTGCTGAGCCAGCAGCAACAACAAGCACCACACAGAGATATAGTATGTGCCCACTCACCAGAACTTAATGGGATTGTGTTGGCTTGAAAGCCAAGAACACATCAGGCCTCCATTAGGGAGACAAATAAACCAGAATGCTTATGCAGTAGGTGGGAGGGGGCATGGGAAAAAAAGTGGGATGTTATGTGCTCTGTGGTGCAGGTGTTGTGAGTCCACATATCATTTTCATTGTGCTGAGTTATATACTCGAGGAGGTGCAGTCAGTGTCAGGAAATACACTCTGCGTAATAGTTAGCGCAGCTGACAGGAGCTAAAACACCACCAGCACGTTAAAAGTATTGCTCTATAAAAATAATGTTTCTTTTACATTACACATGTGTATAACTGATGCATATGTTAGCCAGGACGCACCCTCTGACATACTTTACCCCCCTTAGACTCAAGCACTTCACAGTCTAACAAAATAAACCCATGTCGGTTGCTATCTGTGAAAACAACATCTGGGTGTAGCCCTCCGCACAATCTAATAATCTCCTGGCTTGCCTGTGAAGGTTTATTGTGCGTCTGCTCGGAGGAGGAGGCACGTTCAAAGCTCTGGAGCTGCGTGTTCAGGCTGCACTGATGCTGTGTCTAATAGCAGGAGGTGAGCATCACGCACCGCTGAGTGGGAATAGGGTGGAGAGACCAAAACTACGTATCCCAGGGGGCACTTTGGTGTAGGTACAAAGCAACTTCCCGACCTCAGGCTTTTAGTGTTTGCCATCAGGATGGAAAGAGTTGTTAAGCAGCCAGCTTTAGTAAAGTGCTCGGTGTAAAGTGTTTTCAACATATCTCACAACAGCCCTGTAGCCCTGAAGAGGTTCTCTTATAACACTTTGAAGAACAAAACAGGGATACTGTTTGCTTCAAAAACATGTTTCCTATCTTTCTTATCATCATGCAACACATCAGATTTATCTTATGACCCCTTGCTTTCAAGTGTATCTGGGATTTCCCACATTCAGCTACAGCAGTGAGATTGATTGTGATTCCAGATCCTATGGGAATGTTTACAGAGCGACCAAAAGGATGTTTTTGGCATAACAGGAAGCTTTTTTTAAAGGCTGTGTTTTCTGTATCAGCTTCAAACCTCAGAATTTCTTTCCTTAAAAGGGAGAATTTGGTTCCTTTTTATGTGGATTTCCAATCATTGTTGTTGGTAAATGTAGTCCATTGATAAACTCCTCAAAGCATGCTGTATAGTTACCGAAAAACCTGCCCCTGCTTGTGGAGTGTGCCTCTAGTTCCTACATTTCCCACGATGCATTGTGAGCTCGCTATTGACTTGTTGTGCCTTTACCATAAACATAAACATAATATAAAACAATTTAAATATTCTAGACATTGCAGCTTCACTCTTTCCGTGTTGACCCTTCACAATAAAAGCCTGACTGAAATTCCCTCAACAGAAGGCAACCCAACAAGATAAGTCAAACGAAATAGTCATATGGCTACTCAAATAAAAAAACAATCTCAGGTAGTTTGTAGTTCTTCCCGGCCTCTTACTTTATACCTACATTTCACCTAAAGTGGTGGTGCAGGATTCATCCACATTTCTCTTTTTAGCCCAGTCCTTTCAGCAGTGCTACTGTCGGGGGATTGGGAATGCAATCTGCAGCATTAGTAACATTCAAGTTTCCTCCCCCTTTATTACTTCTGTACACTTCTTTATGTCTCACTTTGAGCTATTGAGTTGGCTTAACTGCACAGAACAGCGGGAATAATAAAAGTAATTATTTCTTCTATACTTCCATACTGCCTTTACTGCCTAGGCATCTTCCGTAAAGATACTAACATGATCTGTAGGAGCTGGGCTGCACCATTAAAGATGGAAATGAAGCTTGGGGGTTTCATCATAAAATAAACAATCTGAAGATGTTTTCCGCTTGTGTTATTTTGTTTCCTCTTCGAGTATGGGATGCTACGGAGACATTAGCTTTGTTCTCCAGCAGTAACACCCTTTGGGAGTTAACTCAGCGTAGGCGCTATAGGTTTCTGTGAATACTCTGTCCCTTCCTAATCGCAGATACATGGCTGGTTGTCACCCAGTGTGGCTCCTCTAACTGCTAATTAACAGCAGATGCAGAGAGCAAAGAGGGTTGGATGCCTTCAGGTTGCAAAGGCATGAGTTTTCTGTAATTTGCATGTGTTTGCCGGCGCTGTGAGGCTTGTAAAAACGAGTAAGTGAAGTCACTCCTGCCACTTAGCACAGCAGGTAGCAGTAATG